CTTCTCGTCTTGGCAATTACACTGACTGTTAACGTCATTTGTCGGGCTGGGTTTGAGAATTTTAGCATTATGTTGCTTGATTATAGATTCTATGTTATCCATGCAGCTAAGTACTTTACAGCTATTAAGTACTTTACAGCTATTTCTGTTAAAGACTGGCCGTAGCTGGTGGCCTATTGGGAAATGCTTGTCTATTAATTGCAGGAAATGCATGCCGACGTTCGTTCGGACATTCATGCTGTACGGCGGGTTGAACCATATATATATATATATGTTTGTGATCATCAAGTGACGGCCGTCAAGAAGTGAAGAACATCTACATGTTTCAAATTATTTTTTAGAGTATTGCGATGGTATTTTACCAACCGCGAGGCCAGTGTGAACTCCTGAGCAGGCGTCTTGTTTTAATTGAAATCCTCAATTTCAAGATGACATTATTTTTCGGAATTTTTATCTTTTTGTACTTTCTGAAATTGTCGGCTGGCCGTAGTTTTCAGTATCAATAAAATTAGACAAGTATAGTAATTATTTGTCTTCTTTGTTTCAGCCCTAAAGCAAAGTTAGTGAAACTGGCAAACAAACTTTACAATCTTCGAGACCTGGAAAAAAGCGACTCCAGTGAACTGGACCGAGCAACAAGTACAGGAGTATTTCGATTGGTCAAGAAAAGTCGTAGCAGGTTTGAAAGGAACCAATAAAAAAATGGAACGGTTACTGTACGAGATTTTGGCAAGACACTTGTAATGTTGTTCACGAAGTGTACAAAGTTTGCACATAAGCGTATTTATAATAAACAATAATGGTTAAATAAAGTTCTTATTCTGTAAGGTGACCAACTTTAAACCTAATTAATGACGATCCGTAAACCATTTCATCATACACACCAGTGTGACCAGATTTTTCTTGGGTTATTACTAAACTTCGTGTTAAAAATTTACTATAATCGAGATAAAATTTCATCAAATTAAAATTCGCCTCCAGCCCGGTTTGAAATTAGCGGGGTTTGCAGGCTAGAGAGTTTCATTAAACGCTTTTAGCATCTCCATCACACAAGATTACGAATTTTTACCAAAAAAATTACTGAATTATTGAAATCTTAAAATCCAAAATGCTAGTAAAAATCTCATTACTAAAATTTTCCCCAAATTGATGAAATTTTACCAGAAGTAAAATATTTGAGCAAATTCTGGTCACACTGATCCGCAGGGATCATGACCATCTGGACTCTGTCTGAGCAGTCGAATTCGTCAACGAAACGGGTGTTTCCATGTTGACCGTTTGCTGTAGAACGCTGCAAACGAGTTTGTCTTGTAACATCTTTGTTGTCTTTTGGGTGTCGAATAACAAATTTACCAGACTGAGTTTGTTTCGGTTTGTTTCAAGTTGTTTGTTTGAATTACGAAGTTAAAAGTCTGTGTTCCACCATGGTTGTTGCCGTTGTTGTATCTGCTGGTCAGGCGGCACGGCGTACGACATGGCTGGGCGCATTTCTTGGTTAAAATATGGAGGTTGCTGTTGGAGATATTGTGGTTGAAAACCACTGGTCGCTTGCATTTGGTACGCTTGCTGGACATTAGGAATGTATGGAGATCTTATCACTGGTTGGCCATAAGGACCCTAAAGGAAAACACATTATGCTTAGTACAGAGTGGACAAAAGCACCATTTCTCAGACCTTCAATTGGTTACAAATTTTTAATTTTTAACCAGTACACAAAGTTGTTTGGAATCTATCTTGGGTAGATTTTTGTTCTTTTTGGGTTTTTTTTATTTTTGTGTCTTTTGTTTGTTTCGGTTTGTTTAAGTAGTTCGTTTAAATTGTCAGGTGGAAATCGGCGTTGGCTGTTGTGTGTTGTTGTGGTTAGATAGATTGGTTAGGTGGCACGACATAGTAGATAGCAGCTGCCAATCCTTGGTAAAAATGCTGTGAAAGTTGTTGTAAAGATGGCGCAAAAAAGTGATTGCATGTCCTAGAAATACAGGCAGTTGTCGCCATGTTATAGAAATAATCACGATTATCGTATTGGATAAAAAATACATCACATACAAAATCCATTATACAAACACATCGCATCCGCAATGAAACCGCACTGATACAATATGTATATACCATAGATATCTTATATATACACTAGATAGCGCATCTCTTTTAGTAAAATTGAAGCCAAGAATATTCCAGCGGTTACCCCATTTGAATAGATGGCGGCCATGTTGGTCGTTCCCACTTGCTAATAAACGCTTAAAAACAACAATAACTTTCATCATTTGAATATTTTAAAAACGAATTTGGAATAGGGTTTACTTAATGTTTAAGTTCCCTGTTTAAAGTGCATATGACATGAAATTTATTATTTTCTTGAATGAAAGAACTCTTTAAGCTGTAGTGTAACTTATATTTCAGTTTCTTGTTTTTTTGGTTTGTTCCCGAGATATTTCAATTTGTTTGATATGTAAATGAGTGTGAATTCGTCCGCCAATTTATGACGTCACGTTGGTTGCAAGCTCAACTTACACTGGCTATAAATCTATTAACTCTAAAAACTGAAAATATCAGTTCACATTTTTCTCCAGTGTTTCATCACATTTACCAGTGAGAGAAGTTCGAAGCTATCATCTTGGATGATAGCAGTGATATTCAACCATTTTGAGGAGCTTGCAACCAACGTGACGTCATAAATTAGCGGACATATTCACACTCATTTACATATCAAACAATAACGAAACATAAAAACAAGAAACTGAAAAATAAGTTACACTACAGCTTAAAGAGTTCTTTCATTTAAGAAAATAATAAATTTCATGACGTATGCACTTTAAGAAATAGAAAACATACGAATCTTCTAATTTCATGGGAACGACCTGAGACTGCAATCACGGCTTCAATTTTTGAATTGCAGAATAATTAGATGCACTATCTAGTGTATATAAGATATCTATGGTATATACTAAAGACATATATTAATGGATGAACTTGGGTAAAGAAAAGATACTTTGTCAATTCGTCTGTGAAACCATAGTCACTAGAATCAGTAAAGATCGAGAACGTGTGTATTGTTTTTTCGCCAAATCAACCAATAGCTATGTTTTCAATTCACCATTGTTTTATAGCACGAATGGGCACATTGGGTGGCCGAAAATAGAATACGAACGCGCCGTTATAGATTGTTATTATGTTATAATGATAAAGTTGTTATAGATCTGCGAACAAGTTGCAACAAGGTTGTTGTCGAGCCGTTATCAGTATGCTTACTGGGGACAAGCATTGCGAACACATCTTGTTGAAAGCTGCGAGATTGTACTGAAAATGCGAGACATGATTTGTTCACATGCAGTATCTTGGTCTGTCAAGATCAGGCAGGCACACTCGCCAAGCAGGGGGGGGGGTCCGAAGGCGGATAATTTAAAATTTAAACCCTCTGATACTTAACGAATTAATATATATATAATTATATAAAAGCAGGACACCTTTCACACGTTAACACCAAGTACAACATGGCATGAATTACATCATAACCAAATTATAAACCTGTTTTACCGTTAAATCTCAAATGTTAGCATATCTTTCGGTAAGTGGTCTCTTGTTCATTATTAATTCACTCACCTTATTGGCTCGCTCTTTTACTTCTTCAGTCATGCTTACTTTAACCTCCTGATCTCCCTCCTGGCTCGGATCCAGCGTCTAGAAACATGATAACATATTGAAAACAAGTTAACTCAAAGACGACGAGTGGAAGTAAACAATTTGATTATGCAGCTTTACGTACTGGACTTTTTTATATCTATACAGGCCTGCAAATTAGTGCCAGTCATCGGACATTGTCCGGCCAAGTTTTACCTTTTGTCCGATCAAAGTTTTTTTATGACCGGACATGTGACCGACCGATTTAGGCTGGTCAAATCTCCAATCTCAAGAAATTGTTTATTTAACACATTTTTATTAATGAAACCAACAAGAAAGCAATATAAACAGCATTTCTCCACTATTTATTGCTGCATTAAGCCTACATCACCTTCGTATATAACATGGTAGAAATTAAAGTTATGTATAACCTGAACTATAATTTACTGATGCATGAGGACTGGTAGATATATACTCAGTTTTAGATGCACTGCACTGCGGACTAACATGACCAGGTAAAAAACATCGTGCTAATTAAAAAAAAATATATGAAAAATGTTGTTTGTCCGAGAAAAATTGACAAGTGTCCGACCAATTTTTGGCTTGGCCAGACATTTGTCCTGCGAAGTGAAATAATTATTTCCAGGCCTGTGTCTACGATTCTCAATTAACTGCAGATAAAGTTGATGTGATTCACAGATGGATCCAGCCAGAACTGGTAGAGGAGGCGGGGAGTAGACGCGCTCATCTAATCATATCTATTTTCTAATCCCATAGGCTTGAAATCACAATTTATATTCAGGCATATACATACACAAAACTAAACAAGTTCAAAAACATCACTTTTGTTAAGGACTTTCTTTACTTATGGTGACAAAGAACACCATATACAATTTTTCACGGGGGGTACTTTTTAATGCCCACCCCCTGTATGTGGTATATGTGTTCAGGCCCTATAATTTACCGAATGCCATAGCGGATCGGCTGCGATAATCGTGGGAGGTTGGCGTTTGCCCCGTCTACCCTAAATAAGAAATGAAACGTTAGTTAAAAACTTTTAAAAGACTTCCCATTAGGGAGCGGTCATTATTTATGGGGGGGGGGGGGGGTGCACCGAAGAGAAAAGGGTTGGGTAAACAAAATTTTGAGTGAGTAAAAGGTTGGGTAAATGAAAAACAAAACAACTCAAGGGTTTGGTAATGAAAATTTATTGTCATTTCCAAAGCGTGACTCACTGATATTGGAGACTGAAAAGCAATGTCAACACTCAGATGTCAATACAATATGTGATGCAGAAAATTTCACAAGCCGTTATCAAATTCGTGTCACAGAAGTGGCAAAGGACATATGTAAGAACTGAATGGGTATTTATTTTTTAATTGATATTTGACGTTGGGTAAACATATTTTTGACTTTTTAATGGTTGGGTCAGCAAAACGTTTGCCACGAAAAACATTTCTCTTCAGTGCCACTCCCCACCATAAAAAATTACCAGTCCCTTATTTCTAAAATATCATTCTAAATAAAGGGTAAAGTTGCTTTTTTACATTAAACATTGAAAAGATTGAAAACTCACCTGCTTTTTTTGCCTTGGAACGACAAAAGGCGAGAAATCTGATCCTCCCCTGCAATGCCAATGGAAAGAATGTGGTTTAATGAACAAAATCAACTCGAAACTCAAATACATTTTGCACAATACAATTTTGCTGCAACATCTAACGCAATTGCTAATGGAGAATGTGCTCATGGAAAACATCGGGCATGTGACACTTTTCACAACTTGAGGATATTTTTTACTCTCGTTCATTTCTATCTTGTCTTCATGATTTGTTTCTAGTTGTACTGTACATGGCCTCTCCATGCAAACATTCCAGGTCTAACAGTTGTTGGACAAATCACCTTTGTGAACCGCCTCCTTTGCTTGGTGGAGCCGGAGCATCCAATACGATTTCAATATCAGGTAAACCTGCTGGTTTCGTTAGACACACTGGCATGTATTGAAACTGCAGCAAGAAATCTCGTTCGTATTTTCGTCTTGACTGCTTAACAGGAGCTGCTGATTCTGAAAAATAGAAGTACAGACTTAAACAGTCACTTGCAAGTAGATTTGTGGAAAATTCATTGATATAGCAACTGCTTTTGAATTGTAAGATTTACTGTCCTCTTTTAAAGCTTCTTATCAGTGACCATTTTTGTGTTTTACGCAAAACCGCTAAAGAACTGTCATTTTTACACCCAGGACTGCGACACAGTGGAAGTATGAAAGATTTTGTACAGTTCTCTGGCGACTCATAAGTTCATAACTGTTATAATTACCTGTATAATTTTCTCTCTCGACTTTAATCACGTCTCCACTCTCCTCGTCCATGTCTTCAACAAACTAAAATTTACAATCATCTTCTTGATTAGTTGCACACCTTAACTTTAGCAAATTGAGGTATATTAAAATAATTGTAGTCCTCTTAGCCAATCTGAATTCAGTAATTTTAATATGAAAATAATCTTAATATATAGATGTTGTATTGTACGTTAGTAAGAGCTCCTCTCACTTCTTCTAATGTGTTCTGTCTGTCTTTATCACTTTTGATCCGAGATTCATCACTTCCCGGCCATAAGCCAAGTAAGGGGGGTCTAAAAAATTTGAAAGTTTATCAACTGCTTCTAACCTTTTGTGTTATCTAGCCTATGCACAGATTGGTAGCGAATTCTTATCCCTTATATATCAAAGTCCACAAGATTTGAACCTTAAACGTTCAGGAATCTAGCCAACTGCTCTATTTGTTGAGCTATCAAGCCTACAAAGATTGGTGGTGAGTTCTTATCTTTTATAAGTAAACGAGATTTAAACTCTCAACCTTCAGGAATCTAGTCCACTGCTCTACCTGTTGAGCTATCAAGCCTACAGAGATTGGTGGTGAGTTCTTATCTCTTATAAGTAAAGTACACGAGATTTGAACTCTCGACCTAGCTTCAGAAATCTTGTCTACTGCTGTACTTGTTGAGCTACCAAGGTACAGAGATTGGAGAATACCTTATACATTGTTTGATACAGTTGCTTACCTTATACCTACTGAAGAAGATGTTCTGGGATCGTATGATCTGTTAGACGGCATATCTCCACCACTGTTCCCCTGAGGTTGATCTTGTTCTTGCAAAGAATTTCGGGACCGAGAAATTTCGTTCATATGCGATCGCTAACAGTAAACATGAAATCATTTGTCAATGAAAGATTTAATTTTCATATGTAAAGTTATGTTGAAAAAAGTAGTCACCAAGATCGACATATTAGAACTGCCCAATAAAGGCATGTATTTTCTGCTGATCTCTTTCCAGTGATTGAATTCACTTCCTCGACAAAAATTATCAGTTGATTGGTATAACCCAATTTAACTTTAATGATATTACAAACTAATACAGTAGCATGACACATAAGTATTTATAAATCAAAGTTTCTTTTTATTAATGGACCATTTGCATTATAGACTAAATTTTGATCTAGACAAAAATTTCATCACAGCTTGAAAGAGCATCACAAAATTAGTAATATTCCAGAGTTTCGTTGCGAAATGTTGTAAAATGAGGATAATATAGCCATGCGAAGTTTGCCGTTTTTTCAGTCATTTTGTATTACGCACGGGAAATTGACAGCCCAATCGGGTGTTGGGTCATCAATTTCCCGTTTGTAATACAAAATGACTGAAAATTGCAAATTTCGAAAGGCTATATTATCCGCATTTTACAACATTTCGCAACGAAACTTTGGAATATTACTAATTTTGTGATGCTCTTTCAAGCTGTGATAAAATTTTTGTTTAGATCAAAATTTAGTCTATAATGCAATTTATGCAAATGGTCCATTGTGAAGTTCATCTCCGTATGTTTACAGCTTTTCAAGCATTTTTTACAACGGTTAAAAAATTCACTATCCAATGGATAATGGATAGAACTATCCGTCCTTCGTACAACCGGTACTGAAATTACCTTAGCCATGTTCCACAGCTTGGTTTGTTCAATAAGCACAGACTTTGCACTCTTGCCAGTGGTAATCCATCCATCATTTGATGTGCCAGTAAAACTGTCTCGTCCTCCTGAGGAAAAACAATTTAATAGGCAATTCCAGCTTTTAGTTTATGCGTGCAGGGGACGATGGGAAGTAAGGTATCACATTGCTGATTATGCTGAAAAAATAAAAATGGTGGCCGTGTAAACACGGAGTGATAGCTTATACTTGTAAATATTGAAATATTTCGGTTGTTTCGGTAGTTTTTATCGAAATTTTTCAGCATGATCGGCAATATGATACCTTACTTCCCATCATCCCCTGCAGGCATAAACTAAAAGCTGGAATTGACAGCCGTACACATAAACAATTTCCTCATTGAAAAACTGGCATGACCAGCTTTTAAACAAGGCTCCTCGTCAGGGGAAAAATTGGCAACTTTGGCAGTACACACGAACAAATAAAAATTACTTTTTGTCAAAGAAATAAAAGTACTTGTTGTCAAGGAAAACTTGCTCGATACGCTGTGATACCTACAGACCCTTGTACGGGTCTATATTTTTTGCATTTTCCAAAGGGCCTGTTCCATTATATTACCTGGTCCACCTTGCTTCTGTTTTTTATTCATGACAGGGAATTGGACTGCTAATCTTTGCTCCTGCATTTTCTCAATTTGTGCTTCAATAGTCTTTGGATTGTAATGTCCTTCTCGGCGGGCGACCCACTCATTTTGACGAAGTTCAACCACATCACGAAGCATGAATATCACTCTTGATGAGACTTTCTCAGCAATTATAATCCTGTTGATTTGGTCGAAGTATTGATCCATTCGAGGCTGAAATCAACGTTGTTGATGGGTTAGAAATTATTGGCAAGCAAGAATTGTGAGATTCAATGCAATACTCTATTGACCTCTGTCCAAAGCTGCACTTTATTTATATAAATTGAATATAGCTCCATTGTCAAGGTATTAACTGTTTTCAGTAGAGGTCCAATAAAAACCAACCCTTGCTATTGCTTCAATATTACTGCAGAGAAAACCAAACAAAGTTTTTCTTTAAAATGGATAGCCCCACCATTTCTTCCTAGAGTTCCAGTAAAGACCATCTCAAATTACTCCACTGTTATTACATACAGGATGAGAGGTAAATTAAATTACCAAATTGAATCTAATATAAATACGTTTTGTGACTGGTTTTCTAAAACAAAGATGATCAGTGTTTATAATTCGTTTTTGAATCGGAAGACATGAAGAAAGGTGGTCCATGGTAGTAATATTATCCCATACCTGTGTTAAAAGCGGCTTTCTGATTGGTTTAGAGCAGGTGAGTTTGTCGTCGAGCTCACCTGCTTTTTGACGAACTCACCTGCTTTTCGCCCGAACTCACCCGCTAAACTGCTTACGTTGCAATAACAATAACAAATATGGCGGACAAGATTTAGCCGATAAACCTAAACTTTAAAGAACTTTTTTCGGTGACTAACATACTGAGACTGAAGAAAAACCAATTAAAGCAAAAATGCAGTAAAGGTAAACTTCCAGCCACCCTCGGTGCGTCCAATCCCGGACTCACCTCCTTGCAAGTATGTTTGTTATATAACCACTCAGCACAACAGAGCCAAACCCAATAGATCTTTCCCTTTTGAGTGAAATTTTGATCTGGATATGTCTGGATAAAAATTTCATCACAGCTTGAAAGAGCATCACAAAATTAGTAATATTCCAAAGTTTCGTTGCGAAATGTCGTAAAATGCGGATAATATAGCCCTGCGAAGTTTGCCGTTTTTCAGTCATTTTGTATTAGGGCCTACAAACGGGAAATTGATAATCAGTTTGATCGTCTGATTTTTTTCCAGGCATCTCTAGATCAAAATTTCACTCATAAGGGGAAAGGTCTATTGAAGCGGACTTCACTCATAAGGGGAAAGGTCTATTGAAGCGGATCACCAATCACAAAGCCAGTTCATATAGGTAGGTACAAACAAACCCCTGTATATTTACAGTGATAATAGGCTATCTTTATCAGTTCTACACAGTTTTCCATAGGGATCCAGTAAAGATGACCCAAATTGGTCTAGTTTCACTAGATGAGAAATACTATATTAACTTATTTACGAAGCAGTGATATCCTTATTTAAAGACGGTACAATTCAATAACAATTCCAAGTGAATTACCTTTGCTTTATCGGAATCAAGATCTTCGCCAATGGTGAACAATAGCTTGCACATGCTTTCCAAACTTTCTTCGTCGCCAGCACGAAGCAGTTTTAATACACAATCATGCATAATGTTCTCTGTTAACAACTGGAATAGAGGTTTACTATAGTGTATTACTCTCCAGTTATTATTGAAAGAAATTAAATTATTTCTACGAGGAGCCGGTTGTATAAAAAAGTTGTTAAAGTTAACTACTTTTAGAGCAAAAGTTAACCAATCGGAATCGCGTATTTGAGAGTTAATTACTATTTAACAAAAAACGGCTAGTTAAAAAGTAGTTAAACCTTTCATACAATCGGTCCCTGATCTATAATTCCATTATATACAGTCAAACCCCTACTAAATGGGCACCTTCGGGAACTCACCAATATGTCCGCTTAAAAGAGGTAACCGCTTAATAATAGGGGTTTGCAACAGCGAAAACAACAGGAGGTAACGCCCAACTCATTTGGTAACAGTGGCGATCAAAGGTAAACGTGTCAAGAGAGGAGCTGATTCTGGTGTGGAACTTCCCTGCGAGTTCAATATTCAAGGAAGATTTTTCTTGCAATTC